GATTTTTTGAGAGGAAAGCCTCAGCTGTGTGATGGACAAGTGATAGACAAGAAGTCAGCAGGAACACTAACACTTCAGCAGTTCCAGTTCTTCTTACACTCCTGCCATGCTTCCAGGCGACAGCCGTGACCTCTAGTTAGTCCAGACCTATACATGTTTGGCCAGACGCCTGCTAGACTGAGCCCTGCCTGCTTTTCCCTGCCTTGAGTTTCTGTCCTCTGCCTACCTACCATTTCCAAATAGCCAGAACCAGCACAGCATTGCCATAGCTTGTGCTTTTTCTGCCTGGTTGTTCTTGCCGTTTTTCTACTATTACACCTGAAGGAAAGAAGTATTCACCCGCTATTTCCAGCAGTTCCAGTTGAGCTTTCAGTAGAATAACTCCACTCGTCCTACCATCATTTGTACTCAGCAGAAGATGATCCATTCACTCATTTTGATGCTGGCACACCTCTTCACTTTCCACTCTCTTGTGTTTGTCTGAATAAAATGTCCAAAGGCTGCAGTGACAGCTGCCACCAGGAACAGGGTCCTATTTACAGGGCAGGCAGCCAAAACACAAGGTGTGGGATTACAACCCGAGGCCCATAAGCGCTCACAGCCCTTATTGTGCCTGTTAGCCTTTTGGGTTATTATTTCTGAATTTTTAGCACTTTGCCTACCTCTGCCTGGACGCGGAGGAGGGTCTGTGGGTGCCTGCTGACGGCGGGGCTCTGGAGGAGGTGGTCGCTAGGTGTCAGCATGGGACCACCACACCGGCCACCGCTGCCGGCTACCGGCCCCTCGGGGGGGGGGCTGCCCGACCTCCCCCCCCACCCCGCCGTCCTAACAAAAACCATAAAACCAGAGCATATCGGTCTCTCTTACACCTCCTTCCTTCTGATCTTTTCCAGAGATTTTAGGTTGTTCTACTTTTAATAGCCAAATCTGGCTGATCGGGATGGAGATGAATTTCTCACGGCAGCCCCCTCCTCTTTTCTGGTGGAAAAAAATCCACTTGTGCATCGGTACCTCAGTCAAAAATGCTCTTATCCAGCAAAACAACTAAAGTTTTTAAACGAATGTGGCAGTCTTTGCAACTAATTTTCTAATACATTTCAGTAACAGGTCCACTCCAAACACTGAGGTCTTTTATCTACGTGTGATAAGTAACACATAGCTCTGAGCAAAGGTTCATGCTTTATAGCTTAGTCCCATCTCATTCCAGTCCTCTAGACATTCAGACAGTAGGCACTGACACTGTAAGATGCATAGCTTGATTCAGGTGCATGACTTTAAAACTGAAATTGAAGAAAATATGTAATTATTTCGATCCTTTTCTCCCTCTCTTCATATCAAAACTGAAATAAATTGTATTCAAGCTCTTTCTGTAGTAACAGGTGCTGCAACCTCCAAATTCACTTTTTTTTCCCCAGAAGCATGAGAGCAATCTCCAAGCTGCAGCTGAACCTGGGAGCTGTAGTCCTGAAATAGCAGCAAACGATGGTCAGTGCAGCCCTGGCAGTCTGTGCTGCTCGTGGTTCAGTCCCTGTACACAGTTAAGCAGCAAGTGTTTCTCTTTGTAGGTAGTTTCACCTTGTCAAGCTAACAGAAAGCCCTTGAATTTACGGAGGCAGATGTACGGAATGCAGTAATCAAATCACTGACGCTGCCTATTATTTATAAAATGTTTGTGACTTGAAAGAGTCTTAATAAATGTATGGGTCCTGCCTTAAGGAACTTACAGTTACAAGAACTATTATAACTGCAGTGATAATAGTTTGCTATTAATTATTAAATATTCACACCAAGTTTTGCATATGTAGAAGAAAAAAAAAACACTTTAAAGCTGGCAAATACTCTACAGCATCTGATAAATTTATTTCCTCTTGCATATGTCCATTTTTCCCCAAAGCACTTGGAAGAAATTTTATTTTCTGCCATGTTCTTCCATATGAGTCACTCCCTTCTGCTATTTTTTTATCTTCCTTTTCTGTTGTTCTAGTCCAACATGTCAAAATCCAAATCAGATGTTCCTGTTTCTCAGTTTTCAGTGAGAAACCAGGTTGAATAGTTTCAAAGATGCATATTCACAGCTGAAATTTGAGAGAGAAGTCCAAACCAAATTCTTCTATGTGCATTTTTTGGTAGCACATTAAACCTGATTTGATTTCAGATTCATACAGGCTCCAAATGATTTCCCTCAGCTGTGCTTTTTGGAATTACATATAAAGCATCAAATCCTTCTGCTCTGTTCTCTTGTAGTTAATATACCTCCCAAGCTGCCCTTCAGTGTTGAAATAACCCTTGAAGAACTCATCTATTTATTAAAGCACTAGAGAGCCTGTGTGAAAAGTGTTTACATCTAATTTTCAGCCCACTGCTTCTCCTGGCATTAGCCTTGATAAATGCATATGACATATTTAGAAAGCCAGCAATACTTGTAATGTCTCTTTACAACCCGAATTCCTGAAACGTTGTAACACTGCTAGTCCTTCTCATTGCAAGATCTCAACACATTACAAAAAAGGTAAATCATTTCTAGCAGGGGACGATCCTGCTTTTAACAATCCCTGCACATCTTTCTCATGGGAATGATTTATGCCAGTAATAATATTCTAGTACCTCCCTCCTTTTGTCTATTATCACTTGGAGTGTGGGACTGATTCCAGAGATGAGCGGAAGTTACACCCTGCTTGCCGGTATTTGTAAGTCCCCATGAATATACACAGTGATCTGTCCCGGGAGTAGTTAAGTGGTCCAATTCTCATAAAACAATTAAATTACTAAAACCAGTAATCGGTCTTCATGGTCTGATAAGCCCGATAAGTGTAGCAAAGAAGAGATGTAACAATATTGTAACACGTTAAAGACACCGGAGGTGAGATAAGAGAAGACCAGTGAAAAGTATGATGGTCAAACCTTGCGCACGGCCTGACAGCCAGGCTTGGACAGCAGCTAGTTTTACGTGCTCCACTACTCCGAAACACAGAAACGCAACCTTCCAAACTTACATTCACAAAGCAGGAGAACAGCCTCATTCCAGGCAGCAGCTCTGCAACCACGGGTGAGGGTGCATGTGTCACTGCAGATCTTGGCACTCTTGGCTCTGATGTGGAGAAGGAAGAGAGACAAGCTCGTCATTTCACGTTAGCGCACTGCATAAAGGGAGGTGATGGGAAGAGGACAAGCTAACTACGCTTTGTGGAGGGCCTGATAAAAACAAAACACGTTCTGGAAAAAGCCTCATGTCACCTTAATACCCAAGCTATTTACTACAGCAAATAACCTACCAGGTACATCTGCATCAACTGGTTGCATCTGCCTGTAGGCAATATCCACCTGCTTGCATCTGTACGTCACTACACAAGATTCATCCCATCCTTTCTAAGCAGACACTTGAGGGGCCTGGACCAGGCACGTGTCATGCTTGGAGAAAGCCTGGTATGCCCTTATACTATCTTTATACCAAAACTCAGTATCGTGAAGCAGTCTCAGAAGCCTAGGAAAAAAAGAGACTGGGACCTCTTTCTGTTGCAATTAAAGATTAGGCCTTCTCTATCATGTCAACACAGGAACATGAGAAAAAGCATCCTGCTTATCCTTCTCTATGCAGCTCTCACCTTTGCCAGTGGCTGCAATGGATTGTCCTCGGGATTTCTCTGTGGGCCAGACGGTCCACCAGTCATGGCAAGGATTCCCCCCCCCACCCCAAGTGATGACTTCTCGCACTGCAGGCCACGATGTGAAGTGGTTTGTTTCCTTTCCAGGCTTAGCACTCAATTACTGGCACCCACAACTGGGAAGGACAGAGAGTCCCTTCAGAGCTGGACTGCGTCACCAAGGATCAAACTTCTTTTTCTGGCACACGGAAGGGAAGAGCAAAGGAAGTCTCTGAAGAAAATGGAAATAGACAGGGCCTTTGCCTTGGAAATCTCTCTGCACAACAGGTGCCTCCTCTGTCATCCTTGCCTAAATCAGAAGGACCTGATCAGCAAGCCATGCCCACAGCTGTCAAGACCTTGCATGCCTTTGCCTCCCATCGCAACACGTACCACGAGTGGTTCGTGTTCCCATGCCTGGGGCGGGGGAGAGTGTTCGCTCCTCCAGTTTTCCCTGGAAACGACACTAGAAAGCTCTCCAGAAAATACTTCGGTTCCCTATTCAATTCTTTATTTGCTCTGGGGCCAACGAGGGCTAAGGTGAGAAGCAGTCGGAAGCATCAGCTCGACCATCACCTTTTCTCTTTAATTTTAGGAAGGGAAACGAGCAAATTGGCAGGCCTGGAGCTCAGCACTACCACTTTCTAAGAGCTGAACCTGCTCTCACGTTTCCAGAGGGTCCGGACACCGCACGCCAGGGACTGCACTACGAAGTCAGGACACCTTCCCTGCCCTGCCAGCACCCAGCGACGCAGCGTTCATACCCTCGGCGCCGAGCAGTTCACGCTGCCAGTTTCTCCCCCGCTGCCTTGTCCCAGCCACCAAACACAAGTTCCAGAAGGCCAACAGGGGCTCCTTCCCATTCCCGCTCGCTGTTCGCCGCCGCTTTCTCCAGCCGCTCCTCAGGCGACCCCCCTCCTCTCACCACCGAGGGGTGTCCGTTGCCGCCGTCGGACCCCGGGACCCCTCCGCCGGCGAAAACTCGGGGAGCCGCGGGACGGTCGCGAAGGGAAAGGCCGGTCGCGAAGGGAAAAAGGCCGGTCGCGAAGGGAAAGGCGGGCGCCGCTCTCCTCCCCTCCCCCCTTCCCGCCCGCCGCCTCAGGCGCTGCCCGCCGCCCCCTCAGCCCCCCGCGAGCCGCCGCGGCCCCCTCTGATTGGGCGGCGGGGGAATCCCAGCGGGCCCCTCTCCGCGATATAAGGGGCGGCGGGGCCGGCGCCGGGCTCACTGCCCGCCCCCAGCCCGGGCGCAGCGCGGAGCGGAGCGGCGGGGCCGCCTCCTCCTTTCTCCTCCTCCTTTCTCCTCCTCTTCTTCCTCAGCGCTGAGGCGGCAGAGCGCGGCTTCCCGCCCGCGCCGAGGCGATGGCCGAGCTCAAGTCGCTGGGCGGCGAGGCGTACCTGGCGCTGGCCCCGGGCTACGGCCCGTCGGCTTTCGCCTACGGGGCGGTGCGCGGCGGTGCCGAGGGCCCGCGGGGGGCCTACGCGGGTAGCGGCGGAGGAGGAGGCGGCGGCGGGTCAGACTTCCACCCCGGGGCGTTGGGCAAGTCGGCGGAGAGTAGCGGCGAGCAGAGCGGCGACGAGGAGGACGGCTTCGAGGCCGGAGTGAAGGGCGGCGCGGCCTTCGAGCGAGAGGGCAAGCTGAAGGGGGGAGGCCTGGGCAAGAAGCCCAAGGAGCAGCGCTCGCTTCGCCTCAGCATCAACGCGCGGGAGCGGCGGAGGATGCACGACCTGAACGACGCCCTGGACGGGCTGCGCTCCGTCATCCCTTACGCCCACAGCCCCTCGGTGCGGAAACTCTCCAAAATCGCCACCCTGCTCCTGGCCAAGAACTACATCCTCATGCAGGCGCAGGCCCTGGAGGAGATGAGGCGGCTGGTGGCCTACCTGAACCAGGGCCAGACGCTCAGCACCCCGCTGCCCGCCACCCTCAACCCCTTCGGACAGTCGGCCGTCTACCCCTTCGGCGGCGCGGCCTTGCCCGGCTGCCCCGAGAAATGCACTGCCTTCACAGGAGCCGCCTCCGCCCTCTGCAAACACTGTAATGACAAGCCTTGACTTCTGGCTGCTTCTTCGGGCTTTTTGGGTTTCTTTTCTTCTGTTTTTTTGATTATTTTTTTTCTGTGCACTTTTTCTTTCCACTACCATCAGCCCTGGCTTCCTACCATCAGTTAAGTCTGGGTTTTCTTTTCATTTGCTTCTCTTAAATACCCCTCCCCTCCCCACACCCCATTTGAAAATATTTGGCAGTTTACGTGGACCCCCAAAACACCCACTTTCAACTTTGTTTAGTTGCACCCCCCACATGCAACTTCATCTGTAGAGTTATTTCCTTCCCAGCCTGTTAGTGGACTGTGAGCACAATGTTGCTTTTCCGCTTGCTCTGATCTACAAAGTTTTTGAGCAGTTTTTAAACTAAACCATAGAAAAACAGAGAGGGAGAGAGATCTGGAAATGGAAACCTCAGTGAGTTTTCTCTGGAATTATTGACCTGTGTTAAAAAAAGATTAAAAAAGGGGGGGGGGGGGGCAAAATCCAGCTGCAAAACTATGCAATGTTTCAGAATCGGGGTGGGGGATGTCTTATGTAGCCAGTTGGCTTGGACTGCACCCACAAATCCAAATTAAAATGTCATTTGGTCAGCTCATGGGAGGGGGGAAGACCAGTGCTCTTGATAAAACAATAGATGCTTCAAAATAAGATGCTTCTCTTTTTTTTTTTTTTTTTTTCCTCTTAAAATAAAAATTGACCCGTTCTTGAACCAAGAGGAACCTGTGATTGTATGCTAATGCCTGCTTTTTGCCTGTTTCTCAGCTTGGTTAAGTTTTCCGGATGATTTTCCAAAGTCATTGCTCATTATGATAAACAAAGCAAAAGGTCACTTAACATATTTATATGTATTTATAATAAATAAAAGACATGAATAACCACTTTCTCTGTCCTACATGTCTCTAAAACCAGCTGGCAGTCAAAGCAAAGCCCCTGCTGAAGTAAGGTAGAGACGGACATGGCAGTCCTTTGCAGAGGAGCAGCTTTGTGAAGTTAGGCGAATGATTGGAATACTTGGAAAAAGCTTGTGGAGGTTCAGCTCCTTATCAGCAGGGATTTGTTTTTTCTCCAGTTTCTCATGAATCGTGAGCACACAAAAAAAAATGTTGATTATGCCTGACATCTAGAGTTAAGCAGGTAGAGATTTAGCTAGTGTATTTGGACACTTGCTGGAGAATGCTGTGCCCTGAAAGTGGTGTTTGAAAGGGGTTATTGTAGCACTGATCTTAGCTCTGAGGACATCCATGTAAAACATGGCAGGGAAGGAAATCACTTAAAGACTCTGCTTATCCCTTTGGCTTGGTTTTCTGTTATATCTGTGGCTTGACCCTAGACCTATGTGTGGGGTTTGGGCCACTTAGTATCATGACTAAACTAATAATCTCTTGCCAAGTATTGAGTGTGTTAGTACATGTTACAAAGTGAGCCCCTTGCTGGTGAAGTTTTTGATGTTGCTTGTGTTGGTTTACTTTGGTTTTCTGGTTTATGATGTTTAACGCTTTGGTGCCTTGTACGCTTCACTAGTCATTATATAATAATAATAATTGAGGTGCATTCAGTGATTTCTGTTCAGATTGGAATACCCACCCAATGTCAGAGCAACTGCGTAAACTGGTACAGTTGCAGCCTGAGGGGCTAGAGCTGTCCATGGCCATTTGTGTTAGGAGTGGGGTGTAACTATTTAGGGTTATTAAACCAATTTCCATGCCTGTCGCTAGTGTTATGCTAATTTGAAAAGGACTGCCATCCCTCTAAAGCCGCTTGTCTATGGCACTTAATTTTAATTAATACATTTCCAAAAGATTTTTTGTGTTTGGAAAACGAAGTGTGTGATTAAGCCTCAGTCATAAAGACATATGCTTAAAACTGGTTCCTGCTCATTTCCATTTTTATATCTTCATTTCTTCTTTTTTTTTTTTTTTACAGAATAGTTTTACAGAACAGTTTATCTGTTGTACCTTTTTCCATAAAAGAAAATCTTGAAAATACTCTTAAAAGGCATCTGATGAAGCGAAAGCCGACCAAAACCACTACTGAAGCAAAAAATGACTGGATACTGCAAATCAGCAAAGGTCATTTAAAATTTTGCAGACTGAGTTGGTGCTAGGTAATATTTTGGGGAAAAAAAAAAAAAAGGTCAGTTTAACAGAGAGTCATGATTTTTAGGTAAATGTTTATTACTTCTGGTGAAAGTTATAGAAGATTGAGCAGTTGGGAATATTTAAATGGAGATTAGTTTAACTGTTCATTTTTCACCAAAACTAAGATAGTTGGACAATAAAGTATTTAACAGCTTAATATTAAATATGAGTTTGGTTAAAGACGCTAATAATAATGGAATTTATGATTGCTTCTTTCTCAAATAATTATGGCAAAAAAAGTGGCTCAGTAATTTCAGAGCCTAAAAAATTCTTCATAGCCTTAGAGGCAAGCTATTTTTGGAACAGTGGTTTTTAGTACAGTGATTGTTTAATTCTTTTGCTATAATTTACATGAGTAAAAAGCTTGCTCGTATTACCGTATCTGCCTAGAATCCTAAAAATCCACCTTCTGAGAGTCCTTGAAATATTCAGAAGGTGCTTTGAGAGCCCACTTTGAGTTAAACAATCTCAGGAGGCTAAACATGGAATTTCAAATACAGAAGATAAAACCTTCAGTAAAGAAAATTTTGATAGAAAAAATAGCAAGCTTGAGTATCTAAGTACTGTTAAAAGGCTAGGTATTAAAAACAGAAATGTGGAACTTAACCAAAGCAATACTAGAGGAACTTGTAAATCATTACTGAATTTGACCTTAAAGTACAGGGGTTTTAATTCAAAAGTAAAAAGAAGTCCAATCATAATTTTTCCTACAACAAACAAATTCATATTAAACTAAAACAAAGTTGACTAACTTCTCAGTTAATCTGAAAGCTCAATCCTGTGGGTTGCTTCTAGCCACCACAGACTTATAGGATTTTAACTCTTCTCATACAGAGTTGAAACCCGTACTCAGCCCTTCGCGTTTCCCGTTGACAGGAAGGCATCTATTTTGATGTGACTTACGCTTTGTGCTGAGCTGCTGCTAAAACTGCTGCCAAGTGAATGCCTAATACCACTGGAAAGATGATTTTGTTGGGAGGGGATAAACTAGCATCTGATTATTGCATTTGTGTGTGTGAAGCATCGGTGCTAACCTTGCAAATGTGCATGGTTATCCTGGGGATGAGATCCTGTAATTTGTCATTTGTTTTTCCCCTTCTCTGGCGTATGAAAAAAAAAAAACCAACAAAACTTATTTTGTGTACCATGTAAGGTTTTAAGTGTCTGCTTCTGGTTGGTGTCTCAGAGAATATAAAGGGAGGACTTCAAAATGCTGAACATCTTTTTTCTGCTCAAATGTTCTTGTTATGCTGTCTGCTTTTTTTCCAAGAAGGATTTATGGTGTATGCTCAGATGGAACTGAAATACAGATCATGTGTTCTAATGTACTCATTATCCTGGTATGTTCATACTTTGAAGAAAACATTATGCCAACTTTTAATTAAAGATAATATATTGTTTTCTAACCTCACTTAGTTTTTCTTTGAACTTCAAGAATGATCAGCATGAGGTGTCATTAGGAAGAGATGCAGAGAGGAGATGCTGCTCCACTGTCTGTTGCTTTTTTTAAGCTGCATAATTCTAGTCACTAACCAAAACTCAGGTTTTAATAATTAATATATATAACCTTACTAACAGGGAGTTGGAAACTGCTGTCAGTTTGCACTGCATCAGTCAAAATTTAACATTAGCAGTCTTGAGCTTGCAAGGTAAAATCTTGTTTAACCAAATACAGGGAAGCAACAGGTTTGAAGATGGAGGGCCCGGAAGGCAGCTGTCTACTTCAGATACCAGCAAAAAGTTAAATCAGTTGGAGTTGTAGAAAGAAGCCATGAGAATCATGTGGTTTTCCTTGTTCTTTAACCTGTATAGTTGATTTTCTGACATACTTCACAATATCTGAATATTGCTGCATTGCCGAGATTGTTTCTGAGACTTTAGAAAGTGGTCATTGTTCTCAGATCATTTTTCAGGGTTGTTCTTTTACCTATACATTTCTATCCTTTCCATTTTAAAACAGTAGCTGACATTTTACAGGGGTGAAATGAATGTAGGGTCCAATCCTGCTGCTGTTTTACTAATTGGCGGCATTTCTGGTGATACTAGTGACGGCAAGATGGGGCCTGATGCTCCAGAGCACAGTGGTGGTTTCTGAAACCAACATAATGGTGCCTTCTTCAAGAGGCTGCAGAGGACCAGAAAAGTCTGTACAAGCTTTATCCCTTTGCTGTATTAGCCTTGTAACACAACTGTAAAGCATCACGCACGGTGGATAAAGACCTTGCTTAAAACCTTTCACGCTTCTTCAGACCAAACCTGCTAATTGCCAGCTCAGCAGCAAGGGAGTCGCGGTGCTGCAAGGTTGAGTTCTCACGGCAGGTTTCAAGTTGAGTTTTCCACAACTCGTGTTATTTAGCTTAGAGTTTAAGAGAACAAAACCAAGCATTCCACACTGCACTTTTCCCTCCTGCTCTATAATGTATGTTCAAACAAGTATGTTTCTTGGATGTGCTCCTGAAAATAAGAGGTCGGACTTTGCAGCGTTACTGAAATTTATTTTTACCTATGCTTGTTGCCTGTCATGTGAACTATCAGCAGAGAAATCATTGCTCTGATCTCAAATAGGTGAAAATACTTTTAAAGAGTACTAGAATACACCAACCGATATTTTTAATTTTCAAAACTGCTTTTACTCTGTTACCTGTCATTTGATAGAATTTTGATTAGTATTGCACAGTAGAAAAGTTGAGGGTTTTTGTTTTCACTAATCCTGATTAGGGCTAGAAAAGACTCTTGATTACAGTAATTTTAATAATGTAAATTTGTTTGTGATATGTCTTTAGTCTTTAATCCCCTTTGGCGTTCCATTCAAAGGGAGATGAAAAATTCAGGGATTTATAACATTTAAATCAGTCATTCCATGAATACTTGTCAGGCAGTTTTTCTCCAACCTGAAATAAAAAATACCTACTGGGTATATAAGAAAATATTTTGCTGTCAAATTAGAAATATGTTTGCATGGGTTTTGTAGAAAAATAGCTTAATATGAAACA